CCAGAGTACCAATCTATCTGTCTATCTATCTATCTATCTATCTATCTATCTATCTATCTATCTATCTATCTATCTATCTATCTATCTATCTAAAATTATTTAAGCTTAAAAAAGACAAGAAAAAACAAAATAAACATTTCACAATTGTATAATTTATATCATTTTTAAATACATGTATTTTCAATGTAACTTGTGCAGTTATAATAAAAATATAAAAAATAACACTTATCAGTCCAATTTACTTTCAGTGATCCCACCCACCACCACTCCCCCCATTGCACCCATTCTCTCTGTCTTTAGTGCTTCTCTCATCTCCACCTATAAAGTGGAGTCAAGTTAAAGTCCTCAAAGGTCAAGTCTTGTGGTCAGAGTTTAGATAAGAGCCCATTTGACATCTTTAAAGTCAACAGCGTGGACTAGAACCCAGGCAGGAATGTCAGTTCATTATTTGTGCCTCTTGAACAAGCTATAAGCCTATTATTGTTATATGAATATGGCTATATTTTTAAATTGATATTTAATTTGCAAGAAATTAGAAATGTTTTTGTCTCACTCACCTACACAGATTACAATATAAATATAATATAATGCTGTGACTGTGCTTCAGCAATGAGCAGTGATGGATGTGTTTTCTCTCTTTAATGCAAGATATACATATATAAGGTCTTTCAGTAAAAAGGCACTGAACAATGATAGTTTGTTTTGTGTAGTTACAGTATATAGGGCTTGTATTTCCTTTAGGGGCTGAAGGGATGATGAACTTAGCACATATTAACCTCCTGTGTCTTTAGGGAACAGAGAGACTCTCCGTGGAATCACATGGCTAATGTGGATTCAACATAGTTGTAGAAAATGTCGTTTCATTTAATGCTTGATGCTCAATGGTGAAGGATGCAGTGCACAGAGCGTCCACTGAATGCTTTCTGAGGTTGATGCCTCTTCAGGCTGGGATCAAGTTCACTACAGTCTTAGTCATATAGTCAACCTAGACTAAAAACATGGGTGCCAACTGACAAGTGTTCACTTATTTAAGCCTAAGTGACTCTAGATTTGATCCCATAAGATTAATATATAATTAGGAGCAAATATTAGAAAATATGTGATTCAAAGTAAATTTGGGGTCTGTTACTGAAAAAAGACATTAGATCTGCCCTCACAGTAATATAGCTGTAATAATTTGATCTGCACCTGATAACTTACCTTATATGCCTTATAATAATTGTCAGGTATATTGCTCCATGTAGTCTGTTTGAGCAGAGTTTCAAGTTGTAGTGAAAAAATGGCAATACATTAGAGAACTGAGCACATCTAAAGCCTTTTCTCCGATTTCTGATCAGATTCCAGATCTGCAACTGTAGGGTATAGTGGTATACTTAGACGGCCATGATGTTCTGTAGAGAGGTGGAGTCATGTGGTCTCAAAAGAGGAGAGGTAGCCAGACTGTGAAGCTCCGGCAGCCTCCGCTGTCCTTGTGCGCCCTCGCCTGTCCGAAAGAGGGAAAAGGCCCCAGCAGCGCCCCCCCCACCCGGCAGTCGAGTAGTGAGGGAAATTCCTTTGGCTTTTTCCCTCGACTCTTTCATCTGGCCAGCAAAGGAAAAAGTAACCACCACCCCACCCCCCCCTTCTCTCTCTCTGATGATTTGCTGTAGCTGCTTGAGTTCGCAAATGTTATCATATCTATCTCTCTATCTCCCTAATCTCTCTCTCGACACTAATGGAAAATAGAATTAAATGTACTAAAAGATTGAAGGGACATCTCAGTTGAAACATAAGTATTTTCTTGAGTCAGGAGGGGAAAAAGCCAATTCTTTTGTTTCATTGGTACTGAGGCAAAAGTTAGTCAGCTGTTCTTATATTTCCTGTACTGGGTTAGTTAAAATGAGAGTAAATTAACTTTTTTCCCCCACATCAATATGTTTTGTGCAGACAATATTGTGTAGTAACATTAGTGCAGTTTATATGTTAAAATATACACAGTTTGGATGCTGATTCAAAATGTCCCTTGTTTTTAGAGACAGTGATGGTTTACTTCTCCTTTCAAAATCATAAAGATGGGTAACCATGTAGTCTTTTAGTGAGGCGTCCGATGATGGCAAAGGTCCTATTGTTTTCTTACTAAGCAGGAGTTATGCAACAGGTCTTGGCCAGGGCAGATGGGATCTTGTGATCATCCGGAGATAACACTTAGAAAGGCTTTTGCGCAATAGATGAATGACCTTGTGGGTTTACAGTAGTGTCACTTATATTGTGTGTGTTTTAGATAGTGAAAGACAGGATGGGTTTGAAGAGTTTGCTGAGTGTGGAACCTTTTTTTCTTTTCTTGTCTTTTATTATTTACATGACGGACTGAATGGGCTATGCATCAGTTATTTTCAAAACAGTCTGTCCAAATCTTGCGCATTCTTGCTGGCAGAAGTGCAGAAACTGGACTGCAGTCATGGCTCTGCTTCGGTGTCTAGTTTTGCAGGGGAGATCAAAGAAGGGGAGCGCCCCCCGCGGCAGACACTGCAGAATGCGCCCCTCACTTTTACTAGCCAGCCCAACTTGAACTTGACCATGGAGTCTGCGCAGTAGGCATGTAATCCAATCCATGGCCCTGGTATTCAGACCTGCCAGAATATTTGCTCTTAGCATAAAAAAAAACACGTTTCAATGTGTGATAATAGCGCATGAATTTTTGGTTGGTGTTCAGTGTGCCGCCTGCTGAGGTGCGCCGCGTTTCAGATGGGGATTAAGAACCTGGAGGAAAATAACATCTAGCCTCTCCTTCATTATTGTGGCCCCTCCCGTCTCCGTTGCTTCAACTTGGCCTTGAAACAGGATGACGCAGCTACCAGGGAGTTAACTCGCTGACCTTGGAGCGAAACATGTCCTGATGACTATACAGCTGGAAATCTCTGCGTTGTAAGAGCCGCTTTTATCGTTCCTTCCCTGCTCCATCCTGCAAACCCTCCGCTATTACACGAAGGGCTTAGCAAGCCACTGAGATCAGGCCTGTATTACCCCATTAAAGGGGAAAACATCATGGGGTATGGCTTACCACCAATTCAGCAGTAGCAAGGCAACACACCAGGTGCAAAGCCCTGACGTTTCACAAGAGTGCATGTAATTCTTTAGACTGGTCGGTGCGTCCCTGGCATCTTTGAGAAAGGTGATATTTACAAGTCTGTCTGGTTGCAAATGGGTTTTTATTTTTAGAGTGTTTCTGTCATCAGTTCTGTTGCAGGTCTATGTCCCACTGTTTTCCTTATATCTTGTCTTAACACATTTTAGCAGCTAATAATGGACGTTCGTCCAGAGGTTGATTTTCTAGACGTATTTCTAGAGCTATCCTCGAGTTTTAGGCGTTTTTCGATGAGTGCATTTCAGGTCCAGATGTTGTGTCGGTGTAATGTAACTTTCAGACTGGCAGCCAACTCATTTGCATGTGATTGACAGCGGTTAACAGACGGACCCGACATGGGACAGAACCGAATAATAGCTTTTCAGTCTTACATATCTACCTAAAAGAGCATAAAGAACACAGCATGTGTGAAATGGAGATAAATAACGTGGAACTTTATTTTTGGATAACTGATCATATTGAAAACGACATTATATGGGCCCGCTTTATGTAATCAGTTATATTATGAATGAATCAGTGTACCACCATATTTATTTATTTTTTATTAAAATGATCAATCACAAAACATCACATATTTATGGGGAACTTATGAAAATAATGAGATCCATTTCCAAGAAGTGACGTATGCTTTTATAAGTAATTAAATTAAACAAATCAATCAAAAAATCTTTAAATTAATGCAATAACATAAAATAGATTACTCGTTTTATTTTGCTTTAAAAATCTAAACAAATAGTGTTCAATTGTTTACACGGTTTTCCTTATGTATATTTTGACGGTTGGCAGTTTTATTTTTCAGGGATGGACAGCTGCTTATTATCTTTAGCGACTATTTTCGTTTGGTTTTCACTGGTTCTGTAAAAGAGCTTAAAGAAAGCTAAATTAAACTCACTACAGCATCTTCATATACATGCAAACGGCGCCATGCGTTCACTGTACACACATCTATTTTCTTTTTCAATAAGAAAACAACAGAACATCTTAAATATAGCAGGTGAGCGCTTTAACTGTGCACCGGGTTATTTGACGCATGAGGTCGTGTCTTGTATTCAGTTTATATTTAATGTTGCTTATTTAACGTATATAGCCTACGCGCTGCGCATGGCTACTAATACTGGACTCAGAAATCTGTTCTTTTCATTTCGGCCTTTGTGCTGGATGCAGAAAACAAAAGGCCAGAAACTCTGTAGATCACATCGTATCCTGATGACGATAAAGGAAATTACCAACAACAAAAGAAACAGCAAAATGAATAATAGTAATAATATAATAATATGATCAGGCTAATGATAATAATGATAATTATAATGATGATGATAATTATGATGGTATTATTAATCATAATGATAATTAAAATAATTTGACCTAAAGTGCGAATAATTAATAGTATTATTAATATAATTATGAATGTCTTTTCCTCCGTGTGGTTGCCTGTAATGGGGCAGATTGGCACACGTACTCCTGCCAGAATGACGAAATTTAAAAGCATATCCTCTCCATTATACTATAGCCTATATCCATGCAGTTGCAGCTACAATCCAGAATACAACAGATGTGCAACTGAGTACCGGCTGAACCATCAATGAAACAAAGTGCTGACCTTTATATTTGGTGAGATTCCTGTATGCCAATAAATGATTTCACATGCAGCTCACAGGCTGTAGCTTTAGCAGGCTGTTAACGCAACATTTAAGACTTCTGCTGGAGGAACAGAAACAGACTGAAATCCGTCAGAAGCACACATCAGAAACACCTTGGGAGTGAAACTTCCCAGTTTAACCAACCTTTAGGTGGTTTCCTGAGCGTGTGTCCGAAAATGGAGTGGGTCAGTTTTTCTTGTTGTTTTTACGCAATCCTTCATAATCACACCGCAGGCGACCGTCCAGAAAATATGGAAAAGTCAAGTGTGTGACCGCCCTGTGGTTCACTGCTTTGACCACAGAAACATATTGGTTGTTATGTTTTGACAACGTTTTGACAGCCGTCTACTTTAAACACGTGCCATCAACAGGAATGAAGTTTGACTGCATGTAGTTCTCTTAGCAGCCCGTTTTATAACACAATTTATGCTATTAACGATAGAAATTTATAGCTGAGCATAACTTTATATAGACCTTTTGCTGCTTTACCCATGCAGGCTTCGGGCGCTGAGGCCGTGGAATAAATGCGCTCTTTCTCTCCGGCTGCGTAATTTGGGTGCCAGTACAAACAGGGGGTTGAACCTTGATAATGACCTCAGAGAAAAGCCTGCAGGCTTTGCTGCCAAGACATAGGAACCTCCAGGGATCCTTCAGATAGATCAACAGGGGGGTTTAAGGAAGAGTTTAAACTCACTACTATTTACTTGACTCGCATGGAACTTGCATAAAATACTACTTTAATCATCATTCAGTCCGATCATTGTTATCTTCCCTACATTTTATGCAGATAATATGAACTAAGTCAACAATGGAAGTTTTTCTATAAGGAGGGTGCACGTAACACAATGTTTGAATGTAACTCCATGTTAAACTGTGCATCTGTTTGGCGGGACAATGTGTGTGCGCCGCTCCTGTAGAGTGTGTATTCATTGTACTTTGGGATGTCTCAAGTCTGGACTGACCACATGTGCGCGCCGGCGGCCACCTTGGCGAGGGAGAAGGGTTTGTTTGTTTGTTTGTGACTGCAGGACTGTAGCACAAAAGAATAAAAGGATCTAAACATGGATAAAACATAAATGATCCCTGAATGAGAAAACCTCGGTGCAGCATGGATTTGAAAAACACAAAAGGCCTGATATGATTGTAGCTGGAATACTGATCGATGCTGTAAAATCTAACATGACAATACAGAAAGGTTAATGATTAACGCAATCCTGTTTATTTTTAAGATGGATTTTGCCTACATTGAAGAAAATGCCACAGGGCAATGCGCAACAGGCTAGGCCTCTGCAGTTCCTACATGACTAATAGTTGTTGCTGCATGCTGTTGCTGCTGAATGATATCATTACTTAGACTTTCTTGTACAATGAGGTCAAGACACAGCCAGGCTGCCGTGATCATGGTTTGAAGGACACATTTTATTTAAGCTGAGATTTTCTCCTTGCGACTCTGTGACGGCAATGCAAATATTCAAATTTAGTTAAAAGATTGCACATAATTACACTTGATTTGATTACTGTAAACTAGAGAATGGTGCAAAATCTTTGACTTGCAAACAATGCAAATGGGACAAGGAAGATATTTTACATTTTGAATCCAAAAGACCAACCGCAGCCCATTTCTGTTTTCTAATCTTGCATTTTGGCACACTGACCTAACACTTACATGTTATAAGTAGCTATAATACGCTGTATAGCCTACGTTTGTGTTTCATGACTGATATTCTAAAAGGAATGGTATTAATATAGCCTACTATTCTTTTAAATATTTTATTAATCAGACACACATGAGATTAAATCTCTTAATTAAAAAAAAATGTGGGTTATTAAAAATGTGTCAACATTTCTTCCCTCAAATGATTATAAATAACAAAAATGAATTTAAAAAAAGTAATGCAGTCCCACGTTGTTTCATCATATTCAGCATTAATGATGCCCCTCCCCCCGAGACAAAACATAAAGTACATTTCGACATTTCTGTTTCTACAACACACACCACCTTTCAATCTTGGTTGTTGTAAAGTAAAACAATGTTAGCACATCATTGCTTGCTCTGTTCGGCACTTTTATGTTTATTTTAAGTTCCATAGTATTGTTTTGGGATTTTTTTCAGCGCCAGTAGGCCCACAACATAAACCCCCACATTGGTTCGGAATATTCCAGTATAAAACCTCGAATAGTTTATTTCAATCCTCAAAGTTAGTCATTTTGATTTTAGGAATGCTGTAGTCTGTGATACATTGTGTATGTAGGCTTTCTAAGATCTAATTTAAAATGATTTAATATGTTATTTAAGTTAATTTTATGTTATTTGCTACGTTGAAGTTTAGTTTTTGATCCATCAAAGGAAGCAGATGAAACCAAATCTTTTTTCTAATGTAATTTACATAAACATTATGTCTACAGGCTGGAAACCAGACGCACGCATCAGAGTTTTACGCACTTGGATGGCAGCCCCTGTTCTCTTGATTTTGTTCCTCTACCAGCAGATAACACAACAGCACAATTACAAAACTCAGTCAGGCCAAAGCCCATGCCGGATTTTGAAACTGGTAACAATTCCACTGAAAGCTCCTCCAGGTCCATTTCCTCCAACACAGAATAGACGGAGAGCCACTGGTCGTAAACACAAATCAGCAGACCAGACACACACGACACGTCTATCCCGTCCCCTCTTTTCTGACATCAACATCATTTTCACACGTATGTGCCAAAAACACCTCCAAAAGATCTGCAAACAAAAAAAACAACAACATTCCTTTTATATTTCCAACGCTGGGATACACAAGTATGCACCACCCAAGTGAAGCGGGTACAGACTAGTTCGTGAGAATAAACGGTGGAGAAAACAAAATGATAGTAAAAGTTAATGTCCTCCAATAGCTTTCATTGGGACAGGAATTCTCACCCCTCTTCCGCTCTTTTCAAGAGCTCAGACGGTTCCTTCAAAGCCTGAATAGCCCGACAGGCTGGATGGCTAGACAGCAACTTTCAACTTGACCTTGGCCTCCAGCCGCGTCTACCTCCTATGTAAAAACATGCACGCAATGCCAAAGCCCAGAGCTGTTTTCTGTCTTTGCATATTGTAAACATGTCGGAAATGTAGTGACTGCAATATTAACCTCAAACCATGACGTTACATCCGATTTTCTTTATTTCTACCTGAAATTAGTGTGGAGATACTTAAAGGAGGAGTACAGGGGTGGGGGCGGCTGTCTCTGACTGTGTGTGTAGAAATATCTGCATGCATACATTGAGTTACTTCAAATATATCGACTCTCATACGTTTCTATAGCATTTCTACATCCCATACTGACTGCGCTGTAAAGAGCACAGACGGTCTAGTTAAACATACTAAACAGTGTATCTGTGCATCAGCGAGTGACAGACGTATGTTTAATTCCTTATAGATCCTGTGCAACATTGTAATAATAGTTCTACAATATACTTTCACATTATGTATTTATAAATTGGAATCTCTTTGGTAAATGGCTGTGTAATAATACCCAGTAGCTATTGCGAAGCAGACAAAGGCTGGTCAGTGTGCGTGCGTAAAGGCCATAAGGCTATGAATATTAGTGATATGCAGAAGGATGAGTCAAAGTTGTTTCTTTTGTTTAAATTCTTGACCACTTTACAATAATGAACTCTTATTTGAACTTCACACGTAAAAATAAGCGTTTGCAGGCCAGTATTATCCAGATCAAGCATGTGTGATTCTGAAATATAACCTAATATGAATAAAAAATACGTGACTCTGTACCTTACTTTAAAAAAAATAAAGGCACAACTTCCATCTCAACTGAATCAGACACGGCCAAAGCGAAATCCCTTTATAGGTACGGTCACCTTACTTCGCCGCATTTTTCTCCATTTAATTATCTGTACTGGGTGATGTTTACCGTCCTCTTTGCATACCCTGGTCACGTGACAACATCTGGGCCAATGACGGCGCAACCTCGGCGCTCTTGTGCGCGTCAGAGTGGCATTACTCTCTGGGAACCAGTATCTCCTTTTTTCAGTCTCTGGGCTTTTTAAAAAAGAGCCAGAAGCTTCAATGTTGGATGCCGTGCTATGACAACGTCACTGCTCCTCCGTCCTCGCTGGGTCGACCCGTCGGTGATGTTCCTCTACGACAACGGCGGCGGTTCCGATGAAGTTAGCAAGAACATGGAGGGTTTTGCTGGTGGCAACTTTGCTGCGAACCAGTGTAGGAATCTGATGGCGCACCCCGCGTCCCTGGCACCCAGTACGGCTTATTCGTCCAGCGACGTGCCCACCTCCAGTATGGGCGAGCCAGTGAAACAGTGCAGCCCTTGCTCTGCAGCTCAGAATTCATCCAGCGCGTCCTTGCCATATGGGTACTTCGGTAGCGGCTATTATCCGTGCAGAATGTCGCATCACAGCAGCATAAAATCGTGCGGAGCGCAGCCCCCCTCTGCGTATGGAGAGAAATACATGGACACGTCCGCCTCGGGCGACGACTTCACCTCTCGGGCAAAGGAATTCGCTTTTTATCCGACCTATCCTTCAGGTCCATACCAACCTGTCCCCAGTTACCTGGACGTTCCTGTGGTGCCAACTATCAGTGCGCCGTCAGAGGCCAGACACGAATCCCTGCTGCCTATGGAGAGCTACCAACCTTGGACTCTCGCCGCCAACGGCTGGAACAGCCAGGTTTACTGCGCCAAGGAGCAGCCCCAGCCTGGACACATGTGGAAGTCCTCCATACCAGGTAGGCTGCCCATTTAGAGCTTTTACTGGACAGAGCTGTTTGACATGTTGGTGGGTTAACGCACAGCAAACAGGATGCACATTGTACAGAACAGAGGGTGTATGAATTGTCAGTTGCAGTGTCAACCTGCAGAACAAACAGCACAAAAGTGTGATAATTTGCCTGCAGCAAAATGACTGAAATAATGTAAGGAATGGGGGAAGTGTTGGGTTTATTTAAAATAAATTAACACTATGCGCTGAGATTAAATCTCATGTTTCCTTTAGAGAAAAAAAATATAAACTTATTTCAATTAATCAGCTGTCATTATCACGGAGTAGTCAACCCTTTTCTTTGTTTAAGGGATATAACACATTACTACACAGCATTATTTAATTTTATTTAAAAGCCAGTGGAAATATGTCCATTTACTGGATGAAAATGGACATATTCTGGGAGCAAATGTGAGGCTGAACTACTTGTTGAGGGGCAGCTTATGACAGCTGCTTTTGTCTCTCTCCCTCTCAGACGCGGTGTCCCACGCCGGGGGAGACTCTGGCTCTTATCGACGTGGAAGAAAGAAGCGCGTGCCATACACCAAGGTGCAACTGAAGGAACTCGAGCGCGAGTACGCGGCCAATAAATTTATCACGAAGGACAAAAGGAGGAGGATATCAGCCCAGACCAACCTGTCCGAGAGACAGGTCACGATATGGTTTCAAAACAGACGCGTAAAGGAGAAGAAAGTTGTCAACAAATTGAAAACCATCAGCTAGTTTTTTATAGCGGACAAATATCTGTGGGAGATAAACTACTAGGCCTACACACACACACACACACACACACACACACACACAAACGTTTGGACTTATGGAACTTTAAAAGTAATTAAGTTACAGTTACTAGTTACCTTCTTCAAAAAGTAACTATAATTAGTTTACTCAGTTACAAATTATGAAAGTAACCTAGTTACTTAAAAAGTAACATATTGCGTTATTTCAAGTACATTTTTAAAATGCTAAATGTGACCCCACCTCCCACCCCTCTTTTAACGGAACTTAAACGATACATGTGCATGTTCATTATTTATGATAAATCTGAAACATTATAATGAAAATGGAACTTTAATACAATACATTATTAAACAGAAACAATGTACACAAAATCTAAACTATTTTTAAGTGTTGCTGTGGGACAAGTGCAGACTAGCCTCCAATCCAAATTGCCATGTATTGTAGATATTATGTTTTATATAGTGGATCGATACAAAATAACACAATAGATGTTTTTTGAACTTTTGATATTTATTGCAT